CCGGGTTATCTGAGCAAAGATCAAACAAATAAATTAACAGAAACCCCAGCCGAATCGCAAACAAGTACATAAATGGAAAGCCCAGCCAAACGGCAAACAAGTAATGAACAGCAACCCCAGCTAAACCTGTGCGTTAGACTGGGGAGGACCAGAGGGAAAGTCCAGGGTTAAGCCACCAGTACCATCTTGAGAGTCATGTATGAGCCTCTCCAAAGAGTTCGGGGCCTCGGGACAGGGCCCGCCTGGGGATGGGCGGAAATTGTTTTTCGCTCAGTTCCGCGCCTGGTCCCACCCCAAGGGATGGGACAATTTGTTTTCCACACCCGCCCACGGGTTGGCCTGTCCTGAGCCTCCAAAATTTTCAGAGAGGCCCGTTCGTGATTCTCACCTTGGCTGGGGCCATGTACTGGTAGTACCTTTGCCGCTTCAGAAACGAGGGAAAACGCCAGTCCCCGCAGAATTTGGAGGCCGGGCCCGACGACGACTGCCGTTGATAAATCTAATCGGCGGCCATCATTTAGTTTCGGCCTCCTGAAAAAGGTCGGAGGCCTGCTATTTTCCGAACCGACAAAGGTACTAGTAGTGGTTTAAGGCAAGAAGTTAAAACAAACATACGAAAAAGCAGATTCCTTGCTGGCTTGTATTTGTGCCTCTCATGTTGGTGATTCCGTGGTTCTGCGCATCGCCTACCCGCTATCCATTGATAGGCATGCATCACTATGCATCAGAGAACAAACACTGTCATGTCATGGCACTACATGCACACATCGAGAAATGGTCCCAAAAAAAAAAAAAAAAGAGATGAATGCTTTTGCTGAGATTCTTGAGTTTCGCCTGTATTCCGCATGAGGACCCATTTTCCAGCAGGTGTTGCTCCTACTTTTTGATGGCGTCCAACGGTGCTAATGTGCCAGGTGTTCGATCGTGCTTTCTCACTTTGGAATGCTCTGCATGTTGGAGAGTTGTGACTTTCATCGCTGCTAATAGCTCTAAAGCTGATATACTTTTATTCGCGAAGTAACCAACGTAGAAGTGATACTACGGCTGAGTGGCTTCGACCTAATTTTCAATGGCGTCCAAAAGCTGATATAATTTTATTCGCGAAGTAACCGACATAGAAGTGATACTACGGCTGTGTTTGCTAAGATTTCTTTTTCCTCTTGGCCATTCTTATTAATCTTCTGTGTATCAATGTTAACAGATGCCCCAAAGGACAAGTTTGCTAAGATTTTCGGTTTTGTCTGGGTTTGCTATATCTGAGAGTTCTTTGACAGTGGTTTGCTCATTGTGCTCACCTATAAGTTCATGCTTTGATCTGGCCGTAGGTAAGATAGTAGGGACAGGGGGTTCGCTGGGCGTGTTAACGTGGGGATGGGTAGGGTAGGTGGCCTATCCTGTCAGGACAACCATTGGCTGCCACTGCCAGCAATCACAGCAGGTCTGGTCCTGGGCCTCTACAACACCCTGGGCTTTTTTTTCTTTTAAAAACAGAAAAAAGAAAAGAAAAGAAAAAAGGAAGGAAATGCTGAACTTGGGGAGGAGACGCCGCGAATCGGTCACAGCAAACAGGTTCATAGATTCTTGTGGGGACAGGTTCATAAATTTTACATTTTGAAATTTCGGGTGGGCTTGGGAGCAGGATGCTTACCTAAGGGAGATGAACTCCGCGG